AGTTTGAAGACTAAGGTGTGCTTAATTCAGGCTATCATCTCTTCAGTAACTTGCTATGCATCTGGGAGCTGCACAGTGAATAAGGATGACAGTAGAATCATTGCTTTTGAGCTGTATTGTTGGAGAAGAATGCTGAACATCCCATGGACTGTCCTGGAAGAAGGGCAGCCAGAGTGCTCATTGGAGACAAGAATGGCAAAGCTTCATTTCACATACTTTGTGCATGTTGTTAGGAGAAGCTATTCCTTAGAAATGGACCTCATGCTTGGAAAGGTGGAGCATTAATGTAAAAGAGCTAGATTGACACTGTGCCCCAGTAGGTTCAAGTGTGTCAGAGATGATGAAAGATGGCCCAGGATAGGACAGGGATCAGATCTGTTGTTCACAGGATTGTTATGAGCTGCCTGCCCTCAATGACACCTAACAACAACAACAACATAAGAGACTATATTTGGAGGCTACTCTCTATATGTTTAGTGGGAGGATTTTAGCTAAGAGAAGTAGCCCTGAAACAAATAGGCCATTACCTTACCCTTAAAAGTTACAGGGAGCAGAAACATACAGATTCCTCTCAGGCTGCTTTTTGAAGTTGTTTAGGATCATTGGGTGATGACAATAAAGGATTTTCCTCCTCTAACTCCTTTAAATGGGAGAGAGCAGATGAAGAGGAAAAGGATGCCCCTGGTTCATTTTACCGTAAGAATAAGGAGGTGGGAAACCGAAAGTCATAGGTGTTTATCCTGTTTCCAATTTTGTTTGCCCCATTTAGTTCCTTCTCCTGTTTCCTCTATAATACATATTTCAGTCTTCTCTTATCCCCTGCCTGTCTTCTCTATGCTGATACATGTATGTTTTAAATAAAATTTGATTACATTTTGTGCTGTTTTATTGCCTATATTTTCTCTCATGTTGTCGATATAGTCTTCTTTTATCCCTGAATTTATTCCATTTTAACTTTTAGAAAATTCCTTTTTCTGGCAGAGATAAATACAGTCAGTCGTGTAATTAAATAGCACACTACCCACTACACACACTGCTGTCGAATTGGCTCTAATTCAGAGTGCCCGTCCCTCAGTCCCCAACAGCTTCTGTTCCCATTCAGAGCAACCTTCCGTCACTGCAGAAGGAGACTACCAGTCTTATGACAATGCTGTTAACTTGTTGTTGTTGATTACTTTCGAGAAGACTCACAGCGACCCTATAAACAAAAGGCCTGAAGCCCCCCCCTCTACAACTATCGACATTTATCAAAGTTCATAGAGTTTCCAGAGGCATGTTGCTTAGGACGTGGATGCACTTCTGCTTCCAGTATTGTTAACTAGATGCTATCAAATCAACTGTGACTCCTAGTGACCCTGTGAAAACAGATCTGAACCTTGCCCCAGCCGGCATCCCCCTCACCATCTCTGAGAAGCTCAAGGCCACTGTTAGTCACTGTTTTAATACAGCCTCGTGAGGGGCTTCTCTTTCTCTGACCCTCCGTCTTTCTCAGAATGGTGTCTTTCCCAAAGACTTCATTCCTCCTGACAGTGTGCCCAGAGAATATTGAGATGACCTTTCACCATCTTCGCCTCTAAGGAGCACCGTGGTGGCACTTCCTCCAAGACCAGACTGACTTGTTTGAGGTCTTTTTAAAATATTTAATAATTGCAAATATATTTATTACAGTGTCATTGATTTCACATGCAAGCAAGATTCTACTGAAGATCATCCAAAAACGATTAGAACACCACGTCAGCCGAGAACTGCCGGAAGTCCAGGCTGGGTTTAGAAGGGGTCGTGGTACTAGGGATATTGTTGCTGATGTTAGATGGATCTTAGCTGAAAGCAGAGAATACCAGGAGAATGTCTATCTGTGTTTCATTGATTATGCAAAGGCATTTGACTGTGTGGATCA